AGCACGACACACTGAGGACGACACTTGCGGCTCTTGGGTTTGCTCCTTCGACTGCTGTCCCGTCGCTGTTTCTGCGCACCGACACTTCGCTGCCCCCGTTCTACATCATCGTGTACGTCGACGACTTGGTCTTTGCCACTGCTGACACTGAGGCTCTCGCCCTGGTGAAGTCGGAGCTGCAGAAGAGACACACGTGCACAGACTTGGGTGAGCTGCGCAGCTACCTTGGCTTGCAGATCACCCGGGACAGAGCACGCCGCACCATCACACTCACTCAGTCACACATGGTGCAGCAGGTCCTTCAGCGCTTCAACTTCACCTGGTCCTCGGCACAGGCCACTCCTCTGGCTACAGGTCACTTGCTCTCAGCTCCACCTTCGGACGAGTCCGTAGAGCCGAGTGGTCCTTACCCAGAGCTAGTTGGCTACCTCATGTACCAGATGACCTGCACTCGTCCTGACCTTGCGTACCCTCTTGGCCTTCTGGCTCACTACGTGGCTCCTGGTCGGCACCGAAAGGTGCACATGGATGCTGCTAAGAGGGTACTGCGCTACTTGTGCAGTACATCAGGCATGGGGCTCGTGCTTGGAGGACGGGGCGACGTTGTCCTCACTGGTCACTCGGACGCTTCTTGGGTTGACGACCAGGCTACGCAGCGGTCGTCACAGGGTTACACCTTCAGTCTTGGCTCTGGCTCTGTTTCTTGGCGGTCTACTCGCTCGTCTTCTGTTCTTGGCTCCAGTTGTGAGGCTGAGATCTACGCCACAGCCATGGCTGCACAGGAGTTACGCTGGCTCACCTACCTGCTGACCGACTTGGGAGAGCGGCCTCGTTCTCCTCCAGTTCTGTACGTCGACAACAAGGCAGCCATTGCCTTGTATCACGAGCACAAACTGGAGCACAGAACGAAGCACATCGCTCTGCGTTACTTCTTGGCTCGAGAGTTGCAGCAGCGGGGTCAGCTTCATCTTGCTCACGTGACCACTCGGGCCAACACTGCTGATATATTCACCAAGGCTTTTCCGTCTGGTGATCATCAGCGCTTTTGTACTTTGTTGGGCCTTTTGCCTACATTTCCACACTTGTTGTAGACTCTGCTTGTATTCTGATCTATATATATGTACCTGCATGCTTACACTTGCTAGGTAGAGATCACTGGATTGTTCTTGTTGCATATATACCTCTGCATGTGAACTGGCCTTGTGGCCTTTTGCTTGTGCTCAGTGTGTGTGGTGACGTTGTGATCCACCCTGAGCTTGCTTTGCTTTTCTTGACTGGTCTTGTGACCTCTTGCTCTCCCCCACTTTGCCTATGGGGGTGTGTCAAAGATATGCATATGTTATATTTGTGGGTAGGCTGTAGTGGGGTAGATACTGTGGGGTATAACCCCTTAGGGTTTTCTCCTTGTACCAATTCTCTCGATAGTCAACATCATTGATGCCTAGATTCTAGGACCTCCCCAACCGTCCAAACCAACAATCAAAGTGGGTGTGTGGCGAACGCCCCCATTTGTCCACCACAACGAACTGCTCGATGGCATATGGAAGCGGGGACGCAACTTCGTTCCCAGGCAAAGTTCTATCCCCAAGCCATGCCATCGCCATGCCGCGTTTTTCGAAGCACAGCGATGGCACAGCCGTCGCATTGCCGTTCAGAGGGGAACCTCTGAACAAGCCATTTGTTTGACAAAGGCCCGTTCGAATACCCCCCCCATTTATCCCCTCCCGAACACACCTTCGTAGTGCCTCCCGCGCATGACTTGGTATCGGGGGTTGTATTTGAGATTGTTTTTTTTTTTTTTTTTTTTTTTTTTTTTTTTTTTTTTTTTTTTTTTTTTTTTTTTTTTTCAAAATTCGCGCCACTAGATGAGGAAGGTGGGGCTGGGGGTTCCATATGCGGTTGTGAAATTTCCTGTTTTGGGGATTGAAGTTTCGCGGACCGCGTTACGCCCAGAACTCTTGGGCGGGTTTCGACCCCGGTTCCGGATGCGGTCACCATGCCGATGCCGCCAAAATGCTGTCGTTTTCTGAGTTGCTGGCGAACACCGCCATAAGTCTCCTACAGAGAAGCCTTGATGTTGTCCTGTCTCCTACGACCCCTATTCCCCGTGTTCGCGAAGCCTCCCACAATGCGAAACAAAATCCTTTCCTGTTACCACAATACAGCTCCAAAAGTCCGCGAGATTGTGCAGAGAGCAACACCTTCGTCAGTTGGATACCATTAATTGTACTTCGTCCAAATTCCGCCAAATTCGCACACGTCGCAAGTCGTCGCAGCTGTTAGGGTATCCTACACCTTCCTCCAGCAACAACTTTCGGCAGGGATTTACGCTTTGCAACTTAAGACGTATCTTGTTCTAGTTCTCTCCGCCTAATTCATCCAGCACGATGAGCGGACCGGGCGAGTTCTTCAGGCGCAATGACGCGTACAGGCACCACCCGCTGCTGAAGAACCAGCTGCGACACGGCCTCCCAGGCTTAGGGATTGCCGTGTCGGCGTTTGCCGTCTACTTGTTTGTTGACGGCATGGCGTCGAAACTCGGAAGCAAGCCATCTGGGCATTGACGACACGCGCTTCCGTGCCGAATCTACAGTAGTTAGGACGACGTCTTGAGTCGTATGTAATTTCATATTCATTTCTTGAGCACCTGCGTGTGCGGATCTTATGTCGCGTACGAGATGACAGCCTCCTATATTGATGGAAAGTACTGCCTTGTTCAAATTCTACTGTACCAGCAGAATTATTCGCTAATCGTGTGGTATTGAGTTACGCGCGTTCTAGCCTTCTCTCACCCTTCTTTTCTTCGCCATTTCTGCACTTTGATCCAACGGTCAAGGAACGGCCTCTTTCCCGAACCGCCAGTCACCCTCATCTCTTTTTCCCAACGATACCCGAAACCTTGCTCTCTGCTGCTTGCTCCCTTCACTTGAGCTGTTCCCTCCCGTGTCATTCTCCCGTGCCACTGTCACCGGCCCTTTCTCTATCGTGCATCCTGCTCGTCTTGGTTACCTCCTGTTCGCCTCCTGTGTTAACGTCTGCTGCATGAATCTACTTCTGTCTCCCCTCATACCAGTAACTTTTACCCTTCCCTCCTGCTCGCCTCCTGTGTTAACATCTCTCTCCCCTTTCATACTCATCTGTCACCCCTCCATTTGTTCATCCTTTGTCCCATAGTCAGTCTCTGTGCCTCGTCAAGATTCCCGGCTTTTTTGTGAGGAGATTGAGGTGGTGGTGGTATGGTGCCGTGAAGGGGAGATGCCGGGTGGGGGGGGACAGAGAGGAGAGGGAGATAGGTATATTGTTTCAGATTGTTTCTTTGTTTAACCTGTGGTACGTTATTCACGGACCCCTGGGAAGAGCATTGTTACATTCAGGCTAACGAGCTGTGTCCAAGGAGTTGCAACAAGCAGTTGTGCGCGTTACGGTAATACAGGGAAAAATCAACAGTTTTACTCGTTCAATTCAAGCCGCACAAAGCCAGAACATGGCAAATCACATAATTACCAACAAGCCATTGATTATGGTACATCTGATCAGGACGTGGCTACAGTGGTTGATTGCACCATCATGGATTGTTGAAACTTGTATGGTGGTAAAGAGAAAACTGAAACAGCTGCTGGTTGGGGGAGTAGAGCCCTGCGGGCCCTGTGTGGGGCAACACGCACACGTCCTCGGTGGTTTTTCCGAGTCAATGCGTCAGACAGAACCTTGTTGCGGCAGCACATACCACCAACAATGACACGTGTCATCACATGTCGTCAGTAGATACCATACCACTTGCCACGACATCAAACCACATGGCACCACATCACACCACATGCCACGACATCACACCACATGGCACGACATCAGACCACATGGCACCACAGCACCCCACATGCCATAGCATCACATGGAGTCCATGAGCGAGGCGAGGATGAAGTTGGGGGTGAGGTGGGGTACCTTGTGTGCAGCAAACAACCTCTGGCATGACACCACACCACACCACACCACACCATACCATACCATACCACACCACATGACACGCCATGTCATCACATGGAGTCCATGAGCGAGGCGAGGATGAAGTTGGGGGTGAGGGCGCGGTGGGGCAGGGGTTGGCTGGTGACAGGCGAGACCCCGCTGGTGGCGAGCCAAGTCTCAATGTACTCGCGCTCGTACGTGTGCCCGTCCGCTGCAACCACCGGATCGCGCATCCTCTCCTGCATTAGTCACAAAAAGAAGGAAGAAAAACAAGTACTTTTATTTGTGCTGCCAGGGGCTGTCCGGTGACAGGCGAGACCCCACTGGTGGAGGGCCATGTCTCTATGGACTCGCGCTCGTACGTGTGCCCATCCGCTGCTACCACTGGGTCTCTCATCCTCTCCTGTGATAATCACAGCACAAGGAAAGCGGAAAGCAAGTAACGTCACATGTGATGTCAGCAGCTGCCAGGTGAGTGAGAGGCCAGGAGCACAAGGCCACATGGAGGCCAGCTTTATTCGAGTGACTTTTGAGAATTCTCAAAAGTCACATGGAGGCCAGCTATATTCGAGTGACTTTTGAGAATTCTCAAAAGTCACATGGAGGCCAGCTATATTCGAGTGACTTTTGAGAATTCTCAAAAGTCACATGGAGGCCAGCTATATTCGAGTGACTTTTGAGAATTCTCAGAAGTCACATGGAGGCCAGCTTTATTCGAGTGACTTTTGAGAATTCTCAAAAGTCACATGGAGGCCAGCTTTATTCGAGTGACTTTTGAGAATTCTCAAAAGTCACATGGAGGCCAGCTATATTCGAGTGACTTTTGAGAATTCTCAAAAGTCACATGGAGGCCAGCTATATTCGAGTGACTTTTGAGAATTCTCAAAAGTCACATGGAGGCCAGCTATATTCGAGTGACTTCTGAGAATTCTCAAAAGTCACATGGAGGCCAGCTATATTCGAGTGACTTTTGAGAATTCTCAAAAGTCACATGGAGGCTTGGCCACGAGCTGCTGTGTATGAGAGATAGAGTGCGTCTACGTGGGTGAAGAGAGCGTGAAAGAGGGAGAGAGCGAGAAAGAGGGAGAGAGCGAGAAAGAGGGAGAGAGCGAGAAAGAGGGAGAGAGCGAGAAAGAGGGGGAGAGCAAGAAAGCAACACCTACATGAGACAGAGGGCACACAAACCGCCCGTCAAGCTCCTTAGCCCGCCTGTTCTTCTCCTCCATCGCCTCCTCTGCAATCTCCCCCAGCAGCGGGTGAATCTCCCCTCCCAGATCCGGCCTATTCACTCTCCTTCTCTCAATACACCGCACCAGCACCCTCGTCGCCCGCCTCACTAGCCTCTCCGGCCACTTCCCAGCCGACCGATCCAGGCTCTTCACAATCAAATCTGTCGCCTCCTCGGTGTTTCTCGTGCCCGTGCCGCACGCCGCCAGCAACCCGTGTACCAGCTTCACATTCTTCAGCCCTGTCAGCAGCTGCAGCGCGATCAGACCAAACGCGTAGATATCCGATTTCACCGACAGCTCTCCCGTTTGAAGCTCCTCTGGGTCGATGTACCCGGCTGTGCCCCGCACCTTCCAGGTAACTGCCGAGACCTCGTTGGGGATCAGCCGAGCGAGGCCCACGTCGGCGATTTTCGAGATGGAGTTGGCGTCTAGGAGAATGTTGTCGGGCTTTAAGTCCCGGTGGAGAATCGGCGGGTCATGCCGGTGCATGTAGAGCAGCGCGCCGGAGATCTCCGATATGATTCTGATTCGATCGTGCCAGGGGAGGGGCGGCGGAGGGTTGTCCCCCGCCCGGACAATCCTCTCCTGGAGATTCCCGCCCTGGAGGAATTCGTACACGATACAAGCTTCTTCCGGGCAGTGACCCATTAAGAGCACAATGTGTGGGTGCCGAACCTTGCTCAGAACCTCCACTTCGGTTCGGAATTCCGCCGGACCTTGGTCGCTGCCCTGTTCCAGTTTCTTGATTGCCACCAGGCACCCGAACAGCTGGCCTCGGTATACCGGACCGTACGCACCCCTTCCCAGAAGGTTCCCGTCGGAAAAGCCGTCGGTGCATTCGAGGAGTTGGGGAAGGGAGAAGCGGCGGCAATCTGCGGAGGAGGAGGCGTGGGCGGAGGGGTCGAGAGAGTCGGAGAGAGAAGGGGCGTGGAGGGAGGAGGAGTGGTGGCTGGGAGGGGGATGGAGGGAGGAGGAGGAGGTGATGTTGGGGGAGAGGTCTGTGGGTGTGTGGTGCTGGAGGGGTGATTGGAGGTGGGTGGGTGGGGGATGGATGAGGGAGGAGGGGAAAGGAGGAAGGGATAGGATGGGGAAAAAGGAAACATGAAAGAGGGCGATAGAAAACGTTGGATGCTATTAGGTGGTTAGAAATCTTGTAAGAATTGATGCATTCGGCATTTGAAACGACGATGATGATGATCGCACAAAGGTGGTGGTTGAAACGTTTGTAAACGGTCATGCCCATGCCCATGCCCATGACCCCAGCCCCAGCCTATGCGCACAATATCACTCTTCAATCCCCACTCACCCCATCTACTGCGCTGCAAGCACCGGCGGCAGCAGCAGAGGCAGCGTTGGCAGAGGCGGAGGCAGCGAGGCGGGCGCGCTCCGCGACCTTGCGCACAAACTCCGTGGAGTCGAATGAAGAGGTGGAGGAGCAGCTTCCTGCATCGTCGTTGGGGTCTGCAACAGGCTGTGGGGGAGGACGGGGTTGGAAGGGCGGTGAGGTTGGATGGGGGGAGGGGAGGGGAGGGGAGGGGAGGGGAGGGGAGGGGAGGGGAGGGGAGGGGAGGGGAGGGGAGGGGAGGGGAGGGGAGGGGAGGGGAGGGGAGGGGAGGGGAGGGGAGGAGAGGGGAGGGGAGGGGAGGGGAGGGGAGGGGAGGGGAGGGGAGGAGAGGGGAGGGAAGGGGAGGGGAGGGGAGGGGAGGGGAGGAGACGGGAGGGGAGGGGAAGGGAGGGGAGGGGAGGGGAGGGGAGGGGAGGGGAGGGGAGGGAAGGGAAGGGAGGGGGGGGGAGGGGAGGGAAGGGAGGTGGGGTTGGATGGGGAATGGAGGAAGCCATTAAGGCGGGCGCGCTCCGTGACCTTGGGAACGAACCCCGTGGTGGAGGAGGTGGGTGGGAGAGCAGGTTCCCGCGTCCTCACCTCTCCACCATTGTTGCCGTTGGGGTCTGCATTGCCGTCTCCCATGCTTCCTGCTATGGGCTGGAGTGTATGTATTGAGGGATGGGGGGGTAAAGGGGGAAGGGACGAACTCGGAGGAATCAAAGGAGGAGGTGGAGGAGGTGGAGGAGCAGCTTCCCACGTCATCACCATCAGCACCATCACCACCGAGACCTGCATCAGAGGGGGGCTGGAGAGGAGAAGAGGGAGTGGGAAGAGGGGAAGGGAGGAAACACGGCGGGCGCGCTCAGTGACCTTGCGAACAAACTCGGTGGGGTCAGAGGAGGAGGTGGAAGAGCCGCTTCCCTTCCCGGGGTCCAAAAAGGGTCCGGGAGTGGGGTCCGGGATACAAGTTAAGTCTCTAAAAAGGGCTGGAATTTGAGTTCGTCTTACATGGTTGCCCACAGCAGCGGTAGGCCCAGGAGCCTGCCCACTCCTGCCCCTTTCTCCATCGTCCCTCTCCTCCCCCTCCTCTTCATCTTCCTCCCCATCCTCCCAGACCTCTGCATCATACCCGGCTCCCCCACTCCCTCGTCTAGATCTGACCACAACAGCAGCAGCAGCAGCACGCCCCATGCCCATGCCACCAGCACGGCCTGAGACGCCAGGCAGACCCGGCAGCACATGAGTGAAATCAGTGAAATCGCTCAGGTCACTCAGGTCGCCCTCAGCTGCCAGTGCACTTCGTAGCATGCTGCTGCCCGGATCGCCACTGCCGCCACCGCTGCCACCGCCGCTGCCGCCGCCGATGCCGCTGCCGGCGCTGGCCGAAGCCGTGACGTTGCGGCTGTAGGTGCGGCTGCTGCTCTTGCTGTTGCTCTGGCTGGGGTTGGAAGTGGGAGGAGCGTTGGCGCTGCTGCTGCGGGGATAGAGGTCGGAGCTGCTGGAGGAGTGCGGGTTGCTGGCATCTTCGCCCTGGATTTGGTAGAATGGCGGATTTGGAGAAAAGCGAGAAAAAAAACTTGGGCCGCATCAACGATAGAGATTGTTGGGGTCGGGATGTGGGGTTGCGGGGAGGAGAAAGAGAGAGGGGGGGGGAGGGGGGGGGGGGAGGGTAAGGGTTTGTGGAAAACAGAAGAACGAGAGATGTGGAGCAAGACCTTGTGAAACAGCGTATGTTTTTTTGAGAATTCTCAAAAAACATTGGCTGAGAGAACAGGAGAACGAGAGATGTGGAGCAAGACCTTGTGAAACTTGAGTTCACATCTCTCAACTGGGACGTGCCCCCAGTGGGACGTGCCCCCAGTGAGTTCACTTGAAACTTGTGGAGGCACATCTCTACACAGGGTTCAAGTTTTAGATGTGAAGGCGAGTTCACTTGAAACTTGTGGAGGGGGCAAGGAGAATAGGAGGGCGAGCGAGGAGTAGGTAGAGGCACAAATGTGACTTGAGATAGAGGAGTAGGTAGAGGCACAAATGTGACTTGAGATAGAGGAGTAGGTAGAGGCACAAATGTGACTTGAGATAGAGGAGTAGGTAGAGGCACAAATGTGACTTGAGATAGAGGAGTAGGTAGAGGCACAAATGTGAGGGGAACAAGCTAAAAAAGGAGTGGAGATGACAAGAAAAAAAAATGGAAAGCCACACTTGACTTGAGACGATACACCATGGCATGGCGAGGGAGAGCACAGCACAGCACCGCACAGCACCTTGCAGAACTGAGCTTGGGCCGCTACTTGCTTCGCAAGGGCCTCTTGTCTCAGCTGCTGCAACTCCCCCATCAGCATATCCATGTCCAACCCACTCCTGCTGCTGCTCCCACTCACACTCCCCTCTTCCGCTTCCCCTCCTCCCCCTCCTCCCCCTTCTCCCCCTCTTCCAGATGTTTCCTCCCTCTCTCTCCCTGCCTCCCCCTCCCCTCCCTGCCCTCCTGCTGCACCCTGCCCCAGGATCCAATCCCGAACCAACCCCCCGCCTCCCCGCCCAACCTCCAGCAGCCCCGGCCGGCCCTCCTCGCCGAGCCGGCCATTGCTGGACGGCATCTTGGGCAGCCTGTGCCGAGCCTCACCAGCACCGCGACGTCCGGGCGCCGAGCCTGGCAGGTCCGGCGAGCCAGTGGCAGGGAAAGCAGTGAGCAAGCCCGAAGCGAACCCTGCATGGGCATCCATGGGGTAGGAGGAGAGGCCCGGGGAGGTGGAGGAGAGAGCACGGCGCAAGGGCGCCCCTCCTTCCATGCTGTTGCCTTGCTCCTCTTCTCCATCATCCCCGTTAGCTCTCTCCGCCCCGAATCCCCCATCGACTCCTCTTCTTCCTCCTCCCCCACCTCCCCCTCCGCCCATCCATCCGCCAAGCCCCTCCCCCCACTGCCCGCTCCCCTTCCTTCGCAGCATTCCCTTTCGGAAGCTTCCTCCTCCTTTCCCTCCGGCTGCCGTCCCTTCCGGAGGCAAGGGGGGAGTCCTGCTACCTCCCCCTCCCCCTCCCCCTCCCCCTCCCCCTCCGCTTCCCCCTCCTCCTTTTCCGCCTGCCCCTGCTGTCCCTCCTCCTCTCACACTCTCCAAAAACGAGTCCTCACTCAGGCCCAACCTGCCCGGATCCCAGCTACCTGCCCGGAAATGTTTCGGCACAGTGCGCCGGGGGCGGGAGGACAGATCAGTCGCCTGAGCCGGTCTAACAGCCCCACCTCCCCCAGCAGTACCTGCCCCCGCTGCTGCTCCCCCTGCTGCACCCCCTGCCCCCTCTCCCCCCTGCCTCGCCCCCCCCATCTGTGCAAGCACCTCCCACTGCCCTGCCAGTGCCACCACTTGATCCGCAATGTTGGGCCGCGAGGTGGCGGTAGAGGAGGGTGATGGGATGGGAGGGAGGCCGGCGGAAGTAGGGGAAGCAAGATGAGAAGTGTAGCGCCACTGCCCACCATTATAACCCCCACCATCAGCCCCCCCACCCACACCATCACATGCACCCACACCCCCGCCATCCCCCCCACCAGGTGAAATTCTGAACCCCCCACTCCCTCCCCCCATTAACTCAGGACCAGCCCAAGACATCCCCCTGTTGTGCCGACCCCTCTCCCCTTGCCGAGCCTCCATCCCCTGGCTCGGGCCGAACCTAGACGCTCCCAGCAACCGAGCCTCTTTCTCAGTCTCTCCCCGGGGCGTCCCAGGCCTTGGCTCATCGTTATAATCACCACCATAATTATCACCTTCCGTGATAAGAAGACCGGAATTAGAGGAAAAGGGAGAAGGGATCAGAACCTTGGGGGAGAAGTGGAAGGGGAGGGAGGGGGGAGGGAGAGGAGAGGATGCCGTGTTAGAGATGGCAGCAGCGGCTGAGGTGAGCTGACCTCCTGCTCCCGCCGCTCCCGCTGCTGCCTGCTGCCTGCGTTCCCGGCTGAGAGTGCGAGACATGGTGCGAGCAGACGAGGCAGTTGAAGCACAGAGGGAAGGCATACCGCCGCTGTAGCTGCCACCACTGCCACCAATGGCAGCGTTACTGGCACTGCCAGCACCACCACCACTGCCAGCACCACCAGCACTGCCAGCACCAGAAGATGGGGTTCTGCCTGCTGCTGCCGATGCTGCTGTTGCTGCTGTGGCTCCATCCAGCTCGCCTGCCCCCCATAACCGTCCGGAAGGGGAGGTTCGGGAGCGTAGGACAGGCCGGGGAGGCGTGTGCTCCCCGTCCTCCCCGTCATACTCCCCGTCCTCCATTTCCGATCCTCGTCCCGAGCCTCGGGGAGGTCTGGGAGGAGGCTTGGTACCCCTGGCGTGGATTGGATCATCTGGATCTTCGGCAGGTCCGGTTGTCGAGCCTGAAACCGAAACTGCCCGCTTTCCCGGACCTAGGATGTTGAGGTGGTAGGGTGAGCGGTGCGTCTCCGAGCCTCCGGTGCTGGTCCGGACAAGTGGGGTTTCATCTTCAGACTCGGAAAAGCTGTTGCTCTGCTTGCGTGTTCTCCTCTGAAATACACGCCTCATACCCCCACTACCACCACCACCACTGCCACTCCCACCACTCCCCCCACCACCAGCAACACCAGCACCAGCAGCACCACCGCCGCTGCTATTCCCTGGGCTGCCTGTGCTGCCGCTGATGGGAAACATGCCTCCTATGCTCCTACTCCTTATATGCCGCCCATAGCTTCCCGCCCGCACAAGACCCACCACCCCACCACCCCCTCCCCCTCCCCCTCCCCTTGCTCCTTCTGCCGGGCTTCTTTCCGCGCTTCTCCCACCGCTGCCGCCGCCACTGATACCGCTGCTGCTGTACATGCCGGGTCTATATCGTCGGTTCCTCAGCTCATTCCCCGCACTGATGCTTCGCTTCAGCTCCGCTGCACCCTCCTCCTCCTCCTCCTCCTCCTCCTCGTCTGCCAAATGCTCGTCTTGCAACTGTTGCTCATAGTCCTGGTAAAAAATTCCGTTCTGCTGCTGCTCATGGTGCTGCTGCTGCTGCTGCTGCTGCTGTGCGTGCTGGGGCGAATCCTGAGACCTCCTACGGCCACCACCACCGCCGGCAGCAGCAGCAGCAGCATTACCAGCAGCACTGCCACTGCCACCTCTGGCAGCAGCAGCACTTCCCTGGCTGGTGGCGTGGCTTGTTGTACTCGCTATAAGCTCCTTGACTCGTTTACCGCCCTGTGTGAGCACGAGCAGGCAGCCCTGTGGCAGATGGGCCTCACAGTAATGCACCACCGATGAATCCCCGCCCCACAGAAGCTTCCTGGAAGGAGAGGCGATTCGTAGAAATCAGGGAGCACAGGAGGGGAGAGGGAGAGGGTGGATGAGAGAGGAGTAGGGGAGGGAGAGGGTGGAAGGGAAGGGGAGAGTAGGGGAGGGAAAGGGTGGAAGGGAAGGGGAGAGTAGGGGAGGGAAAGGGTGGAAGGGAAGGGGAGAGTAGGGGAGGGAAAGGGTGGAAGGGAAGGGGAGAGTAGGGGAGGGAAAGGGTGGAAGGGAAGGGGAGAGTAGGGGAGGGAAAGGGTGGAAGGGAAGGGGAGAGTAGGGGAGGGAGAGAGGGTTACTTGTTCCGTACTTGCTTCTCATGAAGTGTAACGATCATTCAAGACGAGGGGAGGAATGGCAAGAGAAGGGGGACACGGACCCCTCTCACACGCCTGAAAACAAGTTGCTCCTCTCCTCCTCACCTCCTCACCTCCTCACCTCCTCACCTCCTCACCTCCTCACCTCCTCACCTCCTCACCTCGTCAACACCTCGCCTCCTCACATCCCCTCCCTCACCTCTTGACACCAAAGTGCAGCCGCTGTGCCTGCAAGCACGCCACAGCGCCACAGCGCCACACAGATCCAACCCCCATGGTCTACGTATCCCCTCAACTTCACCTCTTCACCTCCTCACATACACCCCACCTCACCTCTTCACGCCGATGTACAGCCGCTGTGCCTGCAGGTGTACAACAGCCGCACACAGGCCCGCTTCCCTGCTCTCACTGCGCTCCATGTGTGCCTCCGCTGCCACCTGGTGGGGGGAGATGGGGGAGAGAGGGGAGTAGGGGTTGAGAACTCGAGGTGTGCTTGAGTGGACTCACGAGTCGCCTGCTCTACTGCGTTCCATGTGTGCCTCTGCTACACCTGGTGAGGGAGGGGGAGGGAGGAGGGCGGAGGGATGCGTTAGAGTCGACTCTAAGGGCCGCCTGCTCTCACTGCAGAGAAAAACAAGGGAGGAAAGAGGGAGAGTGTGGAAGGGGGGGAGGGGAGGAAGGGGGGGTGGGAAGGTGGGGAAGGGGGAGGTACAACGAAAATTGAGGTCAATGGTTTTTGAAGAAGTCCCATAGCGTTCTTTTTGTTCGTTATTCACCCGAAACAGTTCTGGAATTGATATGTGGAATTGATATGTGAATTGATAAGCCTTTTGCAATTAGCTGAATCATCTATCATTCTCTAGGGTTTTTGAAATCGGTCGTTCTTTCAGCTGCTCGGAAACATTAGTTACCGCCACGCACCGGCCTCTGGAAGTTCGTTTTCGCGCGCTCTCGTAAAGCACGATGCGTGACCGACTGGCCTTGGGAATTTCGGTTCCCGCCTTTCCTCGGATCGATCGAACCACTTCCGTTAGCGCGGCACCTCCATCAGTGAATCACTGAATCTCGATTTCGCCTCACCGCTTATCAGCGGTATCAAAAGTTCCGTGGCCTATATTCCTCTTATAAGCTGCATCAGATAAGCGAAGGCCTCTTGTGTTTCCTGACATGAGGCTTCGAATCAAATCATCATAAGTCGGCACTAACAACCACCACGAACGAACGCACTATCGCGCCAGCAGCAAGGACAGGATAGCGTGGGAATTCGAGCACCAAGGTTTAACAGGTTGTGTCACGCATTTTCCACGCGGTAATAGCTATTACCCCACGCTCAAGCGTTTCGAACTCGCCTTAATCGTTGTCTTGCCATGGTCGCCAGACCTTCGTCGCTTCTTCGTACCATTCTTCCCCCTCCTTCAGAATATTTTCCGCACACACCTTCCTGTTCTCTGCTATCAGCGGATTCTTCCTTCCTCCCCCCTCCACCCGCCCCCCTTCCTCTCCCCTTTCCCTTCCCGACCCCCCCCCCCCCCCGCGCACACTCCCCCCCCCCCCCTCCACCCACCCTTTCCCCGACTCACGCACGCTCACCTTCCTGTTCTCCGCGATGGCCTGCATCGGCCGCACGACGCTGCGCAGAATCAGATCCTCCGTGGCGCCATGCCGCGCCCGCTCCTTGCGCGGTGTCGCGGCTGTCGGAGGAAAGAAGGGCCATGGCGGAACGGTAAGAGATGGCGGAAGGGAGAGCATCGCGGAAGGGGGAAAAAGAGGCGACTGAATGAAAGATCTAGCGAAGGGAATGGGTAGCGCGCCGAGCTGGAGGAGGCGATGAAAAAAAATCTAAACAAAACAAAACGAAAAAACACTACGCGCCATAGGTCTTTGTCATCGCACGGGTGGAATCGCATCGGTCGCATGACTTCGCTCGGACAGCGAAGGTTCCGTTTCGTACAAACGACGGAGGCACGCACAGCACAGCGACTGTGAGTATGAAGTGAGGGTGTGAGAAAGCCTACAGCTTGCTTGAGAAAGTCCTGGTCGCTCACGTTTGGATCCTGGCTCGATAACGACGGAGACGAGCACGATGACAGGTGTCTCGCCGTCATTGGCTCGCTGGAATCTGTCCACGTCAGCTAGGGCGACGCTAAGCGTGCTGCGACTGCTCTCATGGTCCGGCGACACCTCCAGCAGCCACAGCGGCGTCGCAGCCTCATCGCCGTCGTCGTCTGTGCGACGCTGATCGCCGGGTACCATGTCTAAGCTGGGCCGATTGCGACTTAAAACGTCACACGGTACTTTCTCCGCACTAGTCGTTTCCAAAGGGCGAAAGAATCACGATGAGTGTCTTGCAGTGGAAGCGGAAGGAAGGAACAACAGTTGGATTCCCTGAGCTGGCTCAGATAGAACGACCAATTTCAAGTGCTAGTCGACTCCGATGAAAACAATCACGCAAATCCGCTCTATCATGGGCCGAAGCCCACCTGCGGTGGATACAGATGTTCTGGGTTAGTGGCCCTCGCTGAAAGAGTCACTTTTCCCCCTTGTGTAGAGTTTTCCGATATCGCCTAGGGTTGGCCCGACCCCTATAGTCCCTTTTTTGGCGGGAATTGTTTCAGCTTGACCGAATCATTGCAAAAATCAGCACCGCAGCCAATCAGAGGCTCCAGATCGAACCAGCCCCAACATTCAGGGAGAACGAGAAGTAAGGGATCATTGATTCGATATTTAACTTTGGAATTGTAAGTAATTGTTTCTCTTGAGCGTGATTAATTCTCAATCCTGTCGCGCGGTCTCCAGCACGCTCGACAATGACATCTCATTTACCTCGCTTACAAGGTAAACGAGAAGTTTTTACCTTCTATTCGACGCACAAACCATCATTGATTTTGTTTTTCTTTGCCCGTTTGTCATGCAGCATTGATCAGCGCGGAGAACTGAATCTACTTAAAAGACAAATCCAAAGACTATTAGCAAACAAACCACTCTTCATGCAGTTTTCCTGAACGGGACTATAAGTATCGCGTTTTGCCCGGGGTTTGAAGGTTTTCGCACATAGTCCGCGCGCAGCGTCTCAGTCCGTCGGACTATAAACGAGAACATTTGTATATGTTTCGCTGGCCATTAATCATCATCATAATGAGCAGCGAAGCTACCTAAAAGGTGCAGTCAGCAACAACCACCTTTAGGACGCGTCACTCCCATCAAATTGGCACGATCGATCCTGCGCAGGATCGAATTTGATGGCTTTTAAAACGGTCTGGATTGTTTTGAGCTCTACAAACAGGTTTTAAGTGCGGTGGCTGATCCAAATTGCATGATCGATCACCAAAATCAGCGGGAGCTAGACGCGTCCTTAGTTCATACAGTCGTGGAAGTCTGAGAGACAAGCGGCCATCGCATCGACCAAACAAAAAGTGTATGCCACGCTAGGAGCAGCGCCAGAGGGATGCAGGATTTTGTTTCTGGTGGGTGATGAAGAAATCGGGTAAGTAGCTTTGGCAGGGGTACTACTAGCGACCCTGCACTTTGAAGTGGACTACAGTGCCAGTAGAGGGCACTTTCCACCCCTCCCTGCCTCAGACAGGAAAGTTATAAAAACAAGGCAGCACTCTCCCCAAATTCACCCACGTGTCACAATTCCAAATCGAATCCACACTCTGGGTGGCTACAGTTACGACTGCCAATGCTCTGTATACTCTTTATAGTGTATCATTGCATTAAAAAAAAAAATTAAAAAAAAAACTCTGGGTGGCTCGGCTGCCACACTGTTCCGAAATCTGATAGGCTACTGTTTCGCGCCCAAAATTTCGGAAGAGAGGCCTGCGTCAGCAGGCAGTGCAATGAGTCAGCGGGCAAGTAAAACAAATATACCCCACATGGAAGGCATGCAATTCGGGAGGCATCAACCCTAATGGCATGCAATCCGAATGGGGTTTATATTTTTTGCCCGCGGTCAGATTGGTTTCGATTTGGCAGAAGGGACAAAAATCTGTTGCGCACAGATGGTCAGAATGTCCAGTACAGTACGGGGCATGGATTTTGGTGACACGTGGGTGAATGTGGGGAAGAGTATTTTCTTGTTTCTATAACTTCCCTGTCTGAGGCACGGAGGGGTGGAAAGTGCCCGCTACTGGCACTGTAGTATTCTTCAAAGCGCAGGGTCGCTACTAGTACCCCTGCCAAAGCTAACTACCCGAAGAGATCTGACCAAACAGCGTTCTGATGAAACGGCGGTCTGACCAACTGTCTGGCCAAATACAGTTGTGACAATGCGTCCAACGTGAACAACTAGAACAAATGTGTGGTGCAGCTTCGCGAACAAGGGGCGCGAAACATTACACTACTGGTTGTGCACGGTAACTGTATATGTTTGAAGATACAGTATGGCTCAGCGTGGTGAAGGTTTTAAGGTGGATTGGATTTACTACGTTGCTGAAGGGAGGCGGGCTGGTGTTGGCGCGTGGGGTGATTGGAGGAAGATTGAGTTACACCAACGAGATTGGACGAGGGTAAATGTTCCGGGCAGCAGCACCTCCTTGAGCCCCTGACTGGAGCAGCATTCTTTCTGGCTGATGGACTTCCGTTGCAAGCTGACAAACCAAACGAGACACCCAACTTCCATCGAAGTTGCGAGAAGTATGACCGTGCCCCGCCCCTCCCCGCCCTTTTGCGCCCCACACAAACACAAGCGAAGCGCGCAACCTGTGGCATCTGGCTGGAAGGATGGCTTTCTCCCTGTTCGACTTCCGCATCCACTAGTCGGTCACGCAGCGCGTTTTGTTTGCTTGGAAAAAGGTAGTATATCATTTACTCACTGTACCCCAAAACATGTGACGGTAAGTGCCCCTTTTAATTCGGAACAGCATAATCTCCACCCACCGTCTAGTGCAAATAAATGTTTCTAATGTACCCCCCCAATTATTTGCTCTAATACTGGCTACAGAACTCAGGGGGTAAGAGTTATCTTATGATCATACACTACTTACACCCACAATATCTTACTTTCCTACATCCTACATCCAGTATTTCAGGAACTTTCATAAATGAAAGTGCCTGCCTGTGAACTAGCTATTCACAATACTAGGCCCTGCGCCTAGTCATAACAGTAAGCAAGGTACAATACGCCAAGTCCTCCCCTCCTCCCCAGACACCTTCCACCTGCCCTGTTTCCCCCACCACTTCCCCTTCAACAAACCCCCCCTCGCCCCTTCCAACCTTGCACCCCCTTTGCTAACCACCCTCCCCACCCTCTCCCCCCCAACACCTCTCCTCTCCCCCTTGCCTTTTCTCCTACGCCCACCTCCGAACCCTGCCACCTTCCGTCCGTTAACCCCCTTATGATCCATTCAGAAGGCCCAGGGTGGAAAGCAGTTCCAGCAGGATGAGATTCGGGGTGAGATGCTTGTGTGGGAGGGGGAGGTGGGTTCTGGGGGAGGTGTCATGTGCTGCGAGCCACGCCTCTATCGCCTGCCGTTCGTACGTCACCCCATCTGCTGCCACCACAGGGTCGTGCAGCCGTTGCTGTTGGTGCAAAGGCGAGGGAGAGTGGGGGGGGAAGGAGGGACGGAAAGAGCGACGGGAATGACATGTGGTGAGAACCACGCCTCTATCACTTGCCGCCTCATACGTCACCCCGCCTGCTGCCACCACAGGATCGTGCAGCCGTTGCTGTTGGTGCAAAGGCGAGGGAGAATAGGGGGGGGGGAGGAGGGACGGAAAGAGCGACGGGAATGACATGTGGTGAGAACCACGCCTCTATCACTTGCCGCCTCATACGTCACCCCGCCTGCTGCCACCACAGGATCGTGCAGCCGTTGCTGTTGGTGCAAAGGCGGGGGAGAATAGGGGGGGGGGAGGAGGGACGGAAAGAGCGACGGGAATGACATGTGGTGAGAACCACGCCTCTATCACTTGCCGCCTCATACGTCACCCCGCCTGCTGCCACCACAGGATCGTGCAGCCGTTGCTGTTGGTGCAAAGGCGAGGGAGAATAGGGGGGGGGGAGGAGGGACGGAAAGAGCGACGGGAATGACACCACAGGATCGTGCAGCCGTTGCTGCTGCTGGTGCAACGGGGGTGAGGGGAACAGAGGAATATGTGAACGGGGGAACGGGATGGGAGGAGCGATATAGAACAAGGGGACAGGAGGAGGGAAGGAATGTGTGCACAGGAATCGGTGCCAAGAGCATGTTCTGCAAGAAACGTCGCTATCGTACACCACCACCATGAGAGTGACGGGAGATGATGGGCATGGGCATCAGGCAGTTTTTGAGAATTCTCAAAAACTCCCTGAAACGTTCTGCAAGAAACGCCGCCATCGTACATCACCACCATGAGAGTGACGGGAGATGATGGACATGGGCACCAGGCTGGGAGCGATACAGCAGAAAAAAACAGGAGGGAGGGAATGGGTGCACAGGGAACCGGTGCTAAAAGCACGCGGTCTGAGAAACGCCGCTATCGTACCTCACCACCATGGGACTGACGGGAGATGATGGGCATCAAGTTGGGAGGGATACAGCAGCGGAGGGCAACTCACATGGGAGAGAGGGCAGATGAAGCGACTCTCTAGCTGCAACTCCTGCCCTGCCTGCACCTCCCGCCTCTGCTTCACCTCTTCTTCCTGATCCCGCAGTCCCTCCCCCTCTTTCACCTCCTCCCGAGCCTGCACCTCCCGCGCCTGCACCTCCCGCACCTCTTTAGCAATGGCAGCCAGGGTCGGGTGCACCACTGTCTGCAGGTCTGGCCGATCCACGCCGCGCCGTTCCACACACTGCAGCGCCACTCGCAGAGCCCGGGCAGCCAAATCTCTCGGCCAGCTGCCCGCCCGCTTGTCAAGGCGCTCCGCAAAGAAAGGCACGGCAATATCTAGATTGCATGTAGGGCGTGAGCCTGTGCTTGCACTTGTGATTGTGGTAGCGTTTGTGCTTGACACTTGACCAAACAACCGGTGCACCTCTTTCACATCTTCGATCCCAGTGAGCAGCAGCAGCAGCACCACGCCCAGAGCATACACATCACTCGCCGCCGTAACCTCCCCGGTGGTAACCACAACATCCGGATCGAAAAACCCAAACGTCCCCTGCACCTTGAACGTGACCTCGAGGTGATTCTGCGGAAGCAAGCCGAAGAAACTGAGCCCTGCCAGGCCTGTATCAGCGAGTTTGCTGCCGCCATGGCTGTCGAGAAGGATGTTTTGGGGTTTGAGGTCGGAGTGGAGGATAGGGGGGCTGTGGGAGTGTAGGAAGAGGAGCGCAGAGGCGATTTCAGAGGCGATGCACAGGCGATGGTGCCATGGGAGGGGAGCGGGGAGAGGGGAGGGAGGCGGGGTGGTGGCTGCCCCTTGTTCATGCTCTTGCTGCTGCTGTTTCTGTTGCCTTTTCTGCTGCGGCTGCTGCTGCAGCTGTGGGTGTAGGCGGTCCCAGAGAGACCCTCCCACCATGAGTTCATACACAAGGGAGAAGTCCTCAGGGCAGCACCCCACCATGCCCACCACGTGCGCGTGCCGCACACTCGCCAGCACCCCCACCTCCCTCCAAAACGCCTCAGCCTCTGCTGACGTGGCCGCTGACGAGGCAGCTGACGTGGCAGCTGACGTGGAGTAGGGTCCCGGACTCCTGTGGCTAATTCCCGGGCCCTGCAGCCGCTTGATCGCCACAGGGCGCCCCAGCAGCTCCCCTCGGTACACACTGCCCCCTGCGCTGCCCCCACTGCTGCGGCCCAGCAGGCGAGAGGGATTGAAGCCGTCAGTTGCTGCTGCTAGCTGCTGCAGAGTGAACACCCGACAGGGACCAAGAGACGATAGGTGGTGAGGGATGCTGGACGCTGATAGATCCTCGGGACTTTGGGCTTCTTCTCCTCCTGCTTCTCCTGCTGCTGCTGCTGCTGCTGCTGCTGCTGCTGCTGCTGCCCGTGCTGCATCATCTGTACCTGAGCTCAGCATGGTGCCATTGTTGCTGCCCTGATTGAGCCTTGAACCACCACCACCACCACCACCACCACCGCTATCACCGCCACTGCCACCACCCCTGGGCATTGGCTTGCCACCCATAGCCAGGTCCACAGACTCGCGCCTTTCAACCTCACCTGCCGTCTCTGCTGGCACACCGAAATCAAACTCCTCTGCTGCTGCGCCGTTTGCCCATGCTGTGTGCTCCGTCTCCCCACCTCTGCCTTTCTCTGCTCCTGCTGCTCGTGTTGCTCTTGCTGCTCCCGCTGCGTCTCTTGCTTTTGCTGCTCCTGCGGCTCCTGCTGCCTTCACCGCTTTGCGGACAAGCGAACCTCTCCCTGCTGGCGCCTGTCCTGCATCAGGCCCGTCCCCCAGAATGTCATCCCAAGCCAGCTTCACCTGTTGCTGCCGCTGCTCCATGCGGCACACAGGAAACCTCTCCAAAGCCCTCCTCTGCGGCTGCGGCTGCTGCTGCTGCTGCTGCTGGTTGCGGCCTAAAATCTCTCCGGATTTGGTTCGCAGCATCGTCACACCTGCTTCTGCTGCCACTGGTAAAGCTCCTCCTCTATCTTCTTCCCCTGGCTCCATCACCTCTTTCGCCCCTCTCCCCACTCCACCAGTACCGATAGCAGCAGCAGCAGCAGCATGCTCTGATCCTTCAATCCTGCTGCCACTGCTGTTGCTGTAGCTGTTGCTGTAATTGATGAAATTGCTGCCTGCGTTGCTTCGGCTTCTGCCGCTCTCCCCGTTGCTGCTGCTGCTGCCCGCACTAGCAGATCGAGGAAAGGCGGGAACAGCAGCATTTCTTCGAGCAGAGCGGGGTGGAGACGTGTTAGCAGCAGCAGCGGCAGCAGCAGCAGTAGAGGGGACGAGCGGAGGAGGGGTGCGGCGAGAGGGAGAGCGAGGAGGGACGGGGTGCCTGGCAGATTGGCTTGCGACTGCCGCTTTCGCTGATCCATCCAGCAGCAGAGGCTGCTGATGGGACGACTTTTTAGGCCTCTCTGAAACAGATTGCTGAACTGATGGCACAGATTGTTGCAAGGGGAGATCAGAAGACGAATGAGAAAGGAGGCTCGCAGATTTCTGAGAGGGACTGCCTCCACTGCCACTGCTTTCCCCATAGTCCCTGCTGCTCCTCCTGCTCGCGCTCCTGCTCTGCTTATACCTCACAAAATCATACGTGCCGAGCGATCGTGTCCGTTGATACTCATCACCCTCAGGATCCGACGGGGGAGGGGACGCCAGGGGGCTTTGGGGAGTGGTGTCCTCTCGCCCCGTGCGGCTGCCGCCACTGGAAGACTTGGGAAAGAGCATTCTAGCTGCTGCTCTGCCCAGCCCTAGCCCTGAGGCCAGGCGGGAACCTGAACCTGAACCTGAACCTGAACCTGAGCCAGATCCTTTAGTGGTGAGCATCCGAAGCTTAGGGGATCCACCCGAACCTGTGGCTGCCACCGAGGCTGTGGCTGCCGAGGCTGCAGGTGTGGTGTTGAAGATCTGGTGAGACAGGTGAGCACTGCTGCTGCCGGGGGTAGCATTATCACCGTTTATTATAGCACTGTTGATTTTATCACCATCACCATGCATACTGCCACTGTGATTGTGCAGCAGCTGCACCTGCCATCCTGCTGCAACAGCAGTGGCCAAAGGAGGGGGAAGAGGAGGAGCAGGAGAGGAGGAGGAAGTGGTTGATGCATTGCGGGCATGGCTGCTGCTGTTGCTGTTGCTGTTGCTGCTGCTGTTGATGTTGCTGCTGCTGCCGTTGACTTTGCTGTTGCTACTCACTGCATCCAGCTGCCGTTGCATCAGCTGTTCAAACACGTCATCTTCATCCTCATCCTCGTCAGCATCACCAGCAGAAGCAGCAGCAGACGACACATTGCTCCCAGTCCCCCACCCATCCCCACTCCCTCCCACCTGCCTCCCCCCTGTCTCCGCAGCAATGGTCCCCATGTGCGCGGGCAGCACATCCCGGTTGGAGGAGCCAGAGGCTGATGCAGTGCGGACATGACTGTTGCTGCTGCTGCCGCTGACCATGCTGTTGCTTTTACTGTTGGTGTCGTTCTTGCTGCTCACTGTGTCCAGCTGGCGCCGCATCAGCTGTTCAAACACGTCATCCTCATCCTCATCCTCGTCAGCATCCCTGTGAGTACCAGCAGCAGCAGCAGCAGCAGCAGCAGCAGCAGCACCAGCAGTACCAGCACCAGCAGCACCATCACCACCAGCACCAGCACCAGCGCCACTGCCCCCTACACGAGCCGACTTGTGCATCGACTCAACCATCACCCTCCCCCCTGTCTCCACAGCACTGCCCCCCATGCGCGGCGACTTTAGCACCTCGCCCTCCATCACCCTCCCCCCTGTCTCCACAGCACTGCCCCCGATGCGCACAGGAAGGGCATCCCAGGCGGAGATAGCAGAGAAGGGGCGCTCGGGGGAGAGCAGGCCAGGGGAGAGCAGCTGGGAGGGCGAGAGAGGCACCTCGCTCACACTCGCACTGCGAAACCGGCTGCGCCAAGCCCCCCGCCTTGCCTCCTGCCCGCTCCCCCCTGCTCCTGTGCCGGTGCCTGTCGCTGCACCTGCACCTGCACCTGCACCTGCTCCTGCACCTGCACCTGCACCTGCTCCTGCACCTGCTCCTGCACCTGCTCCTATGCGTACTCCTGGCCTTTCCTCCTTCTTCTCCCCACCAGCATTCCCACTCCCATCCCGGTTCCCACTCCCACGCCCACGCCCACTCCCACTATCATGCCTCGCAATCCCTCCAGATTCTACCATCCCAACGGCTCTCCCTGCGCCTCTCCCTGCCATGCCCTCGCCCTTGGGGTTTCTGCTCGCTCCCTTGGGAGTCGTGGGGGCTGATGTACCAGATGCACCAGCAGCACTGGACGGCCAAGTAGCACCAGAGGCACCAGAAGCACCAGAGGCATCAGAAGCATCATCATTTAGAGGGAATGTCCAGTCATCTGGGGAGAAGAGGCGTGGGGTGGTGGGGTTGCCGCGCACACTCAACGGGCCGAACTGGCTGGCATGGTCATGGTAGTCACTGGGAAGGTTCCTCCTACCACCATGGGGTCCCATCACTCCCTCCTCCTCCTCCTCCTCCTCCTCCTCCTCCTCCTCCTCCTCTTCCTCCTCCTCCTCCTCATCCACCTCCTCGACCTCCAGTTTAACCTTCCTCTCTCGCCCCGGGCCCCGTTTTTGGCCCACACTGCCCTCTGCTTCTAGGGCGTCTGATATGGACAGGCGGCGGGGGTGAGAGGGAGGGAGTGAGGGGGAGAAGAGAGCTGTGGGGTGCGGTGACAGCAGGTGCATGGAGTGGCTCCGCTGATGGCGCCCTGCTCGCTTTGAATCCACTGCTCCTGATGCCGCACCTGATGCAGCATCGGATGCAGCACCTGATGCAGCACCTGGCGTTCTACCTGACGTTGGCGCCTCTCTCCTCCTGCTTCTGACCCATTCTTCTCCTAGCTCTGCCAGTGCATCATCATCCTCATCCCCCGACCCAGCCTCCAGCCCTAGTCCCCCCTGACTCTCCTCCCCCTGTCGCTGCCCCCCCTGTCGCTGCTCCCCCTGTCGCTGCTCCACCTGAGTCTGCTCTCCCTGAATTTGTACCCCCCATCCGTCCACCTCTCTAGTAGACGGCACAATCACCCTGAGTCTGCCCGCCTGGGGTCTGCTTTCTCGCTCTCCTGCCTGGACCTCCTCTCTCTCCCCCCGCCTCCTCTCTCCCTCTCCTCTGCTGCCAACCCCGCCCCGCCCACCACTGCTGCTCCCAACACCACCACCAATCACAGCACCCACGCCAGCAACAGTGCCAGTACCAGCACCAGCACCAGCACCAGCACCAGCACCAGCACGAGCGCTGCTACCAGCATCAGGCCACCGCTCTCCACCCCTGCTTCCCGCCTCCAAAGCAGCATTCGACGATGCCGAGCGAGGAAACCCCCTGCTTGCACCCCTCTCCATTCCCCTGCCCACACCCCTGCCCACACCTCGTCCCCTGCCCCTGCCCCTCCCACCCCCCCCTACCACACCACCACCAGCAGCAGCACCAGCACCAGCACCAGGTGCAGTGCCTGTGGGCGTGAGCGGCGGATCAAAGCCAGCCTGGGAGCGTTTGGAGCGGCTGAGGGTGCGGCTGCGGAGGGGCCCTTTGGGATGCACGGGGATCTCTGCCACCCGCCGCGACCCCTGCGCCACCACCAGCACACAGCCGTCGGGGAGATTCGTCTCGTAGTAGGCTGTCGGCGCGCTGCTGAGGGAGTTCGACCACAGGAACTTCCTGAGAGGGGGAGGGTGGAGCAAAGGGGAGAGGGGAGAGGGGAGAGGAGAGAGGGAAGAGGGGACATGTGCTGCTGTGGGTCCCAGGTCGTTGAGACTTGGAAAATCGCATCCTTCTGTGTTGCTGAGGGCCTTCGCTTCAGAGTCACATTGCTCATGAAGAAGAGCAGAAGCACTCATGGATTTATTATTATTACTACTATTATTATTATTATTATTATTATCATCATTATTATTATTCGCAAGCGAGTATCGACTCGCAATATATGTATTCTTGGGTGTTGCGGAGGGGCTTAGCACACAGGGCCTTGAAAAGGGACTGTGTTCTGTTGTCTGACTCACTTTCTGACCCCGATGTAGACCCTGGAGGCGGAGAACCGCTTGACTGCGTCACACAGGGCCTTCTCATGGTCGCTGCTGCGCTCCAGATGCATCACTGCTCGCACCTGGAGGCAGGGGGGCGTGGGGGGGGAGCAAGGGGAGCAGGAGGAGTGTTATGACTGGCCACACACAGGGCCTTCTCATGGTCGCTGCTGCGCTCCAGATGCATCACTGCTCGCACCTGGGGGCAGGGAAGAAGGGGAGAAGGAAGGGAGAGGGGGGGGGAGGTGGGGGGGGGGGGGAGGTGGGGGAGGGGAAGGTGGGGGGGGGGGGAGGTGGGGGGGGGAAGGGGGGGGGTTGGGGGTGAATAAAGGAGGATACGACAAACGAGGACCAAACACCGACCAACCACCACAGGGCTTTTCAAAGCAGGCCGCTGCTGCTGCTGCGCCCCAGATGCATCACTGCACACACCTCGCGGCAAAAGGGGTAAGAAGGGTGTTATGACTGAAGGAGTCTCACCTGGCGGCTGTAAGGCTCCGCGAGCGTCTCACCTGGCGGCGTCTCACCTGGCGGCTGTGTGCGAGGGTCTTGAGCGGCTGCAGCATCTTGCGAATGACAGCCTCCTCCACAAGTTCTGAGACATCTCAGAACTATCAACCAAGCAGAAAAGAAAGCACTGCGTTATGATCGTCTCACCTGGCGGCTGTGTGCGAGGGCCTTGAGTGGCTGCAGCATCTTGCGAATGACAGCCTCCTCTGCGAGTTTTGAGACCTGTCAAAACCATCATTCAAGCAGCCGGCGGGTGTTATGATCCACTCACCTGGCGGCTGTGTGCGAGGGCCTTGAGCGGCTGCAGCATCTTGCGAATGACGACCTCCTCTGCCAGTTCCGAGGCCGCTCAGAACTATCAACCAAGCAGACAGCCGGCGTCACGAGCGTCTCACCTGGCGGCTGTGTGCAAGGGTCTTGAGTGGCTGCAGCATCTTGCGAATGACAGCCTCCTCTGCTTCTGCCAGGCGCACTGCCTCGTCCATTGTCATGGTTCGTCGTACCATGGGGGCTGAAAAGGAGAGGACGCGGGGGGGAGGGAGAGGAGCTGTGGGGGAAGGAGAGCGAGGCATGAGCATCGAGAGGCGCCTCTTTTGCCTCTGCCAGGCGCACTGCCTCGTCCATTGTCATGGTTCGCCGCACCATGGGCGCTGGGAGAGAGAGGGAGAGAGAGGGAGAAAGGGAGAGAAGAACAGACATGGGGGTGAGTGCATACACGCACGGTTGTGCACGTGCACCCAGCTGCTGCTTCTCAGGGGCGTCGGACGGCGGTTCCTCTGCCTCCACTAGCCACACTGCCTCGTCCATGGTCATGGCAGATGAGAGGAGAGAGACACGCATGGATGCATGCATGGATGCATGGATCATCAGGATGAGATGAGTACACACGCATTTGCTGATGTTTCGCAATGGTGAAGTGCTTAATCCGAGAGTGCCCTACGCGCACAATGTCACACGCTTCATGTTGCGCGCACAAGCGCGCAATGCCACGCGCACGATGTCACACGCGCAATGCCATGTGAATAACGTCACGCGCATCTGACCTTGCCCTACCTCCTCAACCTGTCGGTAAAGAACATATTAGGTGAACACGGCCGGTCCGCGGGCCGGTGCAACCCGTTCAGTGTGAAAGACGTTTCAATTTTATCAGTTGCGAATTTGCCACAAGCAACGTCGCGCGTCGACGCTGACGAGGGAAAAGAAGAGGAGGCTGATACATTCGACGGACAAAAAGCTTGACGAAGACTGTTTTCGTAGCGCTCAACCTCTCGCGGACGCATATCGAGGAGATTTCTTATCGCGTACAAGGAGGTGCAGTAGCGTCCTGCATGACGGCGACGAGAATGAACACGGGAAGTTCCGCGCCGGCTCCGCTGGCTCCCGACTCCGAACCCCCCCGCAACGATCCGTGCGACAACTCGTGCGATTTTTTCAAGCTCTCCGCGTCGGCGAGAGCGACGGCGAGAGTGCTGCGACTGACGTCCAGCTGGGGAGTCACCTCGAGCACCCATTGCAGCGGCTGGTGCTCCAGCGGCTCGGGCTGGCCTCGCGGGCTTGGTTCCTGCGACCACTTCCAGCTCATTCTCGCAAACGTCTCGCTCCTCGGACCACTTAAGTATTAAAAACCAGTGCTTTTGAGTCGACTCAAAAGTCGCCTCGCGGGCTCAGCTCCTGCGACCACTTCCAACTCATTCTCGCAAAAGTTTGGCTCCTCGAGCCTAAATATTAAAAAACCGGTGCTTTAGAAAATAACGAAAATCAGCATGACTACCGTAACAATGTCGACCTAGGAGATTTGGGGGGACGTGGATATGAAGCTGCAGGATGGCGGAAATAGGAGTTGTTTGTCAAGCAAGGCGTCAATGGAGTTTTAGTCAGAAAGGCAGGATGGGCACTACGGAACTTGACTCGTTCTATATATAATGGACAAAAGCTTGAACATAGGCATTCTGAAAACGAAGACATCGAGTCGAGCATTTGGAGGAGCCCGGCTCCTTGACTTTTGTTGGGAGGACGTCATCTGGTCCTACGGCTACCGTACGTTCTGTGATGAAATTTGTTGCGGTGAACGGTAGATCTCAGCAACCGCTTTTCACCGTGGAAAACCGTCCTGAGCCAGCATCGTAAATGTACGACCTGCCCACAAGGCATTGCCACAAAGCATTGCTGCTGCCTCAGTCCTCTCCAGCCAGCTCCACATAGAATCTACACTACGGAGTTCCACCAGGCAGCATCCGTTGGTTATGTCAACGAGATGTGCGAAGACAGGCGATTTAAATGTCAAATCTATCGTCAATCTAGTCTAAAGCGTTGATTTAGAACGTTACGAGCTGTCGGAAAGCTGGCGAGCATTCCTGAACCGTTCATAGAAGCATTGCGTATCCCATGGCGAAAATTCACGAAGTGCAGCACTCTTCCAGATGCTTGTCTGTCCTGCTTGTGGCAAGTGATACCGTACAGTCTGGGTGCCCGATCTTGCTGGACGCCAGCTGGTGCCCGCTTCTTTCCAAGAAGCAGGTCAAATCAGTTTTCAACTGTATTGGCTCCGTTACTAGCTTCCGGTTCATAAAATCTCAACAGAGCTGACCTTCACTAAGTTTTGCAGTTAAATATGTCAAGGAACCAATACACGAGGCTACTCATAGCCACTTGAAAGAGCAGATGCTCGTATACTTCTTCCCTTATTTTCATCCTCTTCTTCAGCATCCTCGTCTTCCCTTAACTCCAAGAACTCTGAAACAGCATGAGATTTACTCGTTAGAGAACAAAAATGCAACACACACACACACACACACACACACACACACACACACACACACACACACACACACACACACACACACATCGGGAGCTCTTACCTTGCTTAATCAGATAGTTCTCCAGCTCCGAAGTTGAGAAGTTGTCACGATTCCTGAAGGCCTCGAACCCTACTATTCTATGAAAAGCAACGGCATCCCTGCATGTGAAGAACAAGCAAATACTAGCTGAGCTCGATCTCATAGTGTTGTAACCGTTAGTCAATGCTTTCCACATCCCCCCCTACATGACACTACCTCCCATCCCTCCTGCATAAACACGTTGGACATGGATGCACGAACCTGAATAGAATCATGCATGGTAGGACTTTGATGTTTAATCTGGACACAAAAAAAGGGCATTTCTGTTGCACACATGAAAACAACAGGGGAGATACAGGACATGATTGGAGGATAAGGGGTCCTGAAACAGGGGAGATGCGGAAGCAGGTGGGGAGCTAACCATAGGAGTGGAGAGAGAGATGGCCACGACGAAGGGTGAAAGAGTACACCAGGGATTTAATGTTGATAAGGAAATTCCAGCACTATTGTGCGCCCCAGAAAGGGCGGAAAGTTTTTGCATGAAAACATATCGTACAACTTACCTCTGCGTCAATCTTTAGAAACTTGGCCTCCAAATGTTTTGGTGCCAGGATGGCCAGATGCTTATCAACGATCCTGAAAAGGTGCACAGCAACGACGTTCAGTTGCGAGGAGAATGTGTAACGAAGCAAATGCGCGAGGGTGTGAAAACATACTTGCAACGAGGGAACTCGGCGTGATAAAAGTGGCATAGGACGAGTTCGCTTGACTTAACCTCTTGTAGAAACTCTTCCTCCGTGATCTGGAAGGGAAATTCGAAACGTTACCAGATTTACGTCAGTACTCTTACTACCCGAATCTGCTAATGCACGTTTCAGCATTCTCACCTCCCGGTACTCCCCGTGTCCCTTCTTTCTTAGGTTTTCGCGCTTCTTGGTCTCGGCCTGAGCCAAAGACGATGTGAACGCAACAAGGGATAAGGTCAAGTCTAAACCAACACTCTGACTTAGAACTCGCTGTACACTTGGCAGTCAACAATGGACGGAAAACGTGAATGTGGCATTAGCTTTACCATCAAGGATTGTAGCCGTTCAGCGTGTAGTTTTTCAAGCTCAGGGTCCTGCCGCAGATTAGAAATAAGGAACAAAAATGAAATGTTGGAGAAACGTTCGGAATACAAGGAGTTCTCCATCGTGTGAGTTCGGCATGGTCAAAACAATAGGAGCTGCATTCTGCTTACATCCGCAAGGTCGTCGAGATCGAAATCATCCTCTACAGTTGCGGAAGCATTCTTCTGAGACAACTCCTTTTCCTGAATGCGTAAAGGACAGTAGAATAAAAGAACACACCGATGCTGAGCGTGCCTTCCTTTCGGCCTACAAAAAGGAAACAAAAGGAAGCTAACTCGCTGAGCATTAACTCTTTGAGGTTGAAAGCGGAAAACCGGCACGCGCTACCTACTTTTTTTAGATCGCGTGCTGCTGCTGCGATAACGTTGCCGAACGCAATATTCCCGAGGCGTGACGCTACCTCTTTCGGATCCGTGCAATCCATGTTGCCAACACAACTACGATAACTGCGTCCAGCTTCCTGTGCACGGTATAAGATACAATTACAAACAAACGACGCTATAACGCTCGGTCGCAGTACTATTGCTCTGCTCTTCGTGAAGGGTAGAACGCCGACGAAGCCTTGAAGCAGGAGAGTGATAGCCAGCCTTCCTTCCCAACCACACAGCAGTTTCAACATCGCTCGGATCTCGCCTCGGGTGAAATTTCGATGGAAGCTCTGAGCGATTTGGGAAACACCTTCTGACACAACTCCAAGCAGCCATTCTCAACGTGCCACGTGCAACTTCGTCAAGAAGCTGAAACGAAGACCCGTTTGTAGCGGGAGAACAGGCTATAAAATAATATGAGACCGCTAGATTAGTATGGCATGAAATATAATTCTGTAACTGTTGTAGTGTTTGAGTTAATCAGAAAGTTACGGTAAGTATAACAGTAGCGCAATAACCTCATGTATAGGATTCGCACCCAGCACAATTGCAATACACTCAGAGGAATCTATTATGTGAAGATGGAAAAGTCAACTATTACTCAAAGTCACGACGCTGTTTATTGACCAATCTTATATTGAGAAAGCTTGCTTTCTGGTTCTTGCAAGGCAACGTGCTTCATTTTAAGGCAACGTGCTTCATTTTAATTGTGTCCTCTGAGACATATACGTGCGTTGGCAGAGTGTGGATCGTGGAGCTGGTTGATGGCGACGTCCAGTGACATCAATTGTTATGCCGGTTGTTGCGTTCTATGTCGATGTGGTTATGCAAGTCGCTCCCTCCTTGTGCCGGTCATGTGTTGGTGGAGTGGGGAGCCATGGTTTATAATGATTTTTGTGCTGGCATCCGTGGTGGAGAAGATGGTTGTTGAAGACGGCCCATGTGTCAGGGATGAGGCTCCGAGTGTTGCGTAGCGACTGATACAGCGATGTTGATCTTGTTTGGTGAATGGCGGTGTGTAGGGTCTTGGACTAGTGACGTGCTAGCAAGAATGGATGCTTGAATTTGAAAACTGGAGCTGACGGACCAAACATGGAGGAAAGAATGTCATTTGGCTACGTTAGTAGTTGATGCTTTGGTGGTGGGTCTGTCAGACAAGGATAATGTGTGGCCTTTCATATTTGCGATCGGCTCATGGTACGAAATTTTTAGATTGAGGAACTAAGGTGCCCAGAATGAGGTGTAGTTGCAGGGTAGTGGCAGATATTGAAATATGATGCCTACAGGGGCGGTACGGTATGCGTCATCCATAAGGATGTGGGTTCGTAAAAATAATGTTGTATATCAAGACCTCAAGCCATGCGTTACTGACCCATCGGTTGCTTGTCTCCCGGCCCATTTGTTGTTTGTCTCTTGGCCCATCGGGTGCTCATCCAGTAACCCATTAATTGCTCATCTCTTGGCCCATCGGTTGCTCGTCTTGTGGGCCATCGGTTGCTCGTCTCGTGGCCCATCAGGTGCTCGTCTCATGCCCATCAATTGCTCGTCTCGTGGTCGATCGGCTGCTCATCTCGTGGCCCATCCGTTGCTTGTCCAGTAATCTCTTCATATTCCTTGTACTCTTATATAATCTTGTATCTCTTTGCTTTAATCAACTTACTTTGCCCTCACATACTAGCGCAAGGTGGTTCGCAACTCTTCATTAAATGCTTCCGCTACTACTAAATCAGTCCTACTCAGAGTTCACCCCTGCAAAGATCCTAAGGGCTTTTCTCAGCCCAATATGGTATGAGAGCTGTCAGGGAGAATTCAACTTCTATCAAGATACCGACAACATCAACAGGCATGGCTACACAAAAGGAAAGGAGCTCCTCCAACGACTCCCAGGGCACTACTCCTACTCCACCTTCTGCCTCTGGCCTACAGACAGAGGAGGGTACGGCAACAAGACCCAGGGCAACATCCACCGAGACTCCTGCGAATCAACCTGCAGACTTCGACCAGAGCATGATGGAGAAATTCTTCTCCTTCATGTCCTTCTACGAGCAACACCAGCAATCGGCACCTGCGCAGTCACACAATAGCAACAACAACGGAGCAACTCCCATGAGTCTCGACGGCTCATCATACGCACGAGGAAATCAACAGCAGTAGCCTACCTTTGCTCCGTACGAGCGCAGGTCCATCAGCTTTATGCCACACCCGCAGCCTTCACCTGGACAAGAAAAGTCACTGGACGCATTACAAGTTCAGTCGCAGTTCGCGCACGTTCTGAAGATGCAGACGTCAAGACCTTTCGATGGAAAGGATTTCTTCACCTGGTCGTTTGAATTCGAGTTGATGATGGAAGGCGCGCAGATACTTGGCTTCTTCGACGGGTCCCTGCCATACCCAACAAACGGCACACAGTATGAGAAGCAGCAGTACACCTATCAGACGATGATGGCGTACACGATTCTACTGAGAAACATCACCCCGGCTCAACAGCAGAATATACGGTCTTACCGGGGTTACGGCAACTCCGCGGAGCTCGCATACAACCACTTGAAGAGCATGTATCAAGCAACAGACAGCGTAAATCAAAGTCGGTTAATGGCGCAACTGACAACGGTCGAAATGAAACCAGGCGAGAAAGGAATGGCGTATATCAGCCGATGTCGCGAGTTGCGCGACAAACTCCTTCGATGCGGAGGGTCGATATCTGAAGACGCCTTCGTGACAGTTATCATTGGCGGCCTCGGTCCTCAATGGCGCGCCACAAAGGCCATTCTCCGAGCCCACAGAAGAATCTCCGAAGCAGCGCTCTGCGCCAAAATCCACGCCGAGCAGCAAGACATGGACCTGCAAGAAGAACGACACAAGAAGAAGACATCAGCACCGGAATTTGTATTTCACACTCAGCGACGCTACAACAACAACAAACAACAACAACCGAAGCCCGTACCTCCGTTCTGCCACATCTGCAAGACGTCAGGGCACCCGCGGACGCACTGCCCGAATCGACAACAGTCAACGCCTCCACAGCGGCAGCTTCGACCTTCAAGCAACCAAGTCGCTTCAACACAAGCAAATCCCACGACCCAGATTCAAGCCTTAACAACCTCAACAGGACAACCTGCACAAGGAGCAAGGAACATCGTCAGTTGCATGGCAAGACTGAGCGACTCCTGCATCACGGAATCACCACCGTACTACTCACCGGAAGAACAACTCTACGACACCACACCACACCGCGATTCACTTCAGCCGAACCCGACATACGCAGCCATCGCCCAAAGCGAGCCATCCGGGAAGGACACGTGGTTCTTGGACAGTTGCTGCGGACAGCACATGTGTTCTTCAGGACGCTTCGTGCAACGAGAGTACCAACTCCAACGCGAAGTAGTCATCACCGTCGCCAACAACGAAAACCTGCGCACACGACGACAAAGAGTCGTTCAACTTCAGTCACGAGAAACAAACGTCATACTACAAATGTCCAAGGTCTTAATCGCAGAAGGCCTCGGCTACAACTTACTCAGCGTTAGCCAACTGATGGCTAAAGGTATCCACCTTGAAGCAGACAGCACCACTCAGGAGTTCAAGCTGTACCACGGGAAGGGCGGCCTCTACATCGGAAAAGCGATCCTGAAAAATAGCGTCTTCGTTCTTGATTTTGTTCCAGATCTCGGCACAGCAGACAGCGACGGCATCGTCACCTTCACTTCATGGACCCACCCTCCAGATCTTGATCCAGACTTCAGCCCCGGCGGCTACTGGCATTCACACACCATCCCTGAGGCAGAAAGAACAAGGGCGTTAGCAACAATTCAACACTCGGCAGCAGCAGAAACAACATCGGCAACAGCAGAGACAACATCGACAACAGCAGAAACAACATCGGCAGCAGCAGAGACAACAGCAGAGACAACATCGGCAGCAGCAGAGACAACATCGGCAGCAGCAGAGACAACATCGGCAGCAGCAGAGACATCAACGGCAGCAGCAAGAACGTCAACACCAGTCGCTGGTCCTTCAACGGCACCACTCCTTGTCGACGACACACCACCGACACTCGCGCAACAACTGCACCCAGCACCACGAGAAGTTCATCGAAGCGCCAACTTCACCGCCAGCTTCTATTCCAACTCCGATATGTATCGGCGCTCACCCGGACATCGTGCAACCGAAGGAACCTGGCACGCAAGAATAGGACACCCAAGCAACACAGTGTTAAACAACACGATAAGAGCAGGCGTGCTCGATAAAGACTCTCTATTCCTAACAGACGGCAGAGAACTTCAACGAGCCCGTGGAACATGCTTCACCTGTCCCGAAGCTGACTTACCGCATCAACCGTTCGCGTCTCACCACAACCCAAGCGCACCAGCTTACGCGCCACTCGAGAAGGTATACATCGACATCTTGTACAACCGCGAGCCTGGACAAAACGCGTACAACTACACCATCACCTTCATCGACGCCGCCACACGATATGTCTGGCATCTAAACCTTCCGAGCAAAGACATGGCCTTCGAAGCCTTCGTCGCGTGGCTCCCAGTGGCAGAACGAGAATCGGGCGTCAAACTAAAGAGCTTCCAGACAGACGGGGGAGGAGAATACACCTCACAGAGGTTCAAGCAGTACTTAAAGGGGAATCAAGCGGCTCATCTCCCTTCCCTACGCCCATCAACAGCAGGGTGTAGCAGAAAGAATGAACAGGACCCTCCATAACACCATGCGCAAGCTGCTACGTGGCATGCACCTGCCCAACCATCAGTGGCCCGAAGCAATGGACCACGCCGTCATGCTGCACAACTTGCTCTCGTCATCATCGCTCCCGAACAACGCATCACCGCACCTGTTGTGGACAGGAAAACTGGGCAGCACAAAAATGTTACGAGTCTTCGGCTGCATGGTACAGTACCGGCCTCTATCTGCACGAGCTGGCCGATTCTCACAACGCGCACAGTGGGGACTACACCTGGGCATCGAAAAACACTACAATGCATGGAAAATTTTCGACGTCGAGACAAAGGAAACAGTAGCAGCACGTGATGTCATCTTCTACGAAAAC